ACAGTATCAATAAACAAATATTTAGTCAAAAATGACAGAGGTGATCTCAATTGAAGTGCTCCAATCCTGCTGCTCCCAGTTGAGAGCTGCTAACTAAATGCAACACAGAGCACAGGTTGAACCTGAATAATGTTAACATTAAATTATAGGATTGTTTGCTCTCGTTTACACTTTGCAATAATAACAAAATAGTAATAATAATCATTGCAGTTGATACAGCGCCTTATTACGTCTTCGAGACGTCTTAAAGCGCTTCACAGAATATACTGTAAAGTGAATTGACTGTATATTTGTGGGCGAAATATGGCAGCCCATTGCGCACAGCAGCGTCCCACAGCCGTGGATGGAGTGACCAATTTATTATTATAATTTTTTAAAAAGAATTATTACCCTCGGAAAAGCAATCCGCAAAATGACTAACAACCGGGTTCCTACTTACGGCTACGTATATAGAGGCGTATGGAGTATGGAAACTTGTCCAATGTTTTGTCCTGTCCGGGAATCAAACCCAGATCTCTCGCTTGCGAGGCGAGTGCTCTAACCCTCGAGCTACAGGACTCCTCCTAATAAATCAGGAGGAAGACTGTTTTGGTAAGTAAGAATTAACTCTGGGCACAACAAGTCTTTGTTTCTTTTGGAAAACATCTGTAGCCAACTATTTGGTCTTAGAGGAGAAAATGGCACTGAAATACTGCCTTGGGTGTGTGTCACACTTAGGATACCTAGTTTCTGTTAGTCTCTGACCATTCGAGTGGGGTTTGGGCCTGGTTCAGGTGATTGACAAAAATTATCAGGGCCAACTTTCCGCAGAGACCTGTATTGAGGTTGTCCAGATATATTAATTCCGTTTGCCCATGCAAGGAGAGATTGTTCCAATCCCTGGTGTAGGGTTTGAGTGCAAGGTCACAGAAGGTAAATAGTTAGTGCTTGAAACCAAAATCGAGTTCAATGGTTTGAAAATTGTAGAGCATCAAAAGGAAATAACTTTTGTTCCTATCCTTATTACAGACGTTGTTTATAAAGCGCTATAAATAGAGATAATTATCCGGTGCCCTTTCATGGTTTAGGAGAAACTGCTCCATAACTGTGGGCTAGCCTTGCCCTAACCACAGATTAACTAGTTTGCAGGCGTTCAAACACTGTTGGGGGTGGCATGGTGGGTAAAGAATCATCACTAATGCACTGGTGGATTTTTCTGAGGTTGGGGATTAAGGCGTAATGACACGACAATTTAGAGGGAGCTTTACTCCTCATCTAACTCTAGTTGTACCTGACCCAAGAGTCCTGGGTGGGATGTCGTAGAGGGAGCTTTACTGTATTTCCAACTAACTTGTGCTTAATCTGAACTGGGAGTGTTTGATTGGTCGATGTAGAAGGAAATTGTGCTGAATTTAACCTAAGACCTGTATGACGTCTGAAGCCCTTTGGTAATCCTCTTACCGCTATTCTCCCTGTCCTCCACCCCTCCTTATGCCAAACTCTAGCTCAGGTCCAAATCCTTGGGGCCTCCTCCAGTGTGAAAGACGCCAACAAGTGTAATTTACTGTCGTTGTTTGGCATAGTGTAGAGGGAGTTTTGCTCCACATTTAACCAACGCTGTGTGGAGTTACATAGAGTGATACTATATGGAAACAAATTATTCGACAACTATTCCATACTGGTGCACAGATATATGTAAAATGGAAAGTTATGAGGTTGTCGCAAGTTAGACCCCAGCAATATCCCAATGCACACTCTGGTGTCCCCAAACCTTGGCTCTTGCCAACATCCCTCCAGAGAGAGAGTGCATGGCATTCCAGAGGAAGGCTCATGTTTAAGGTGGCATACATGGGATGCTCGATCCAGTTTGGATGCTCTTGAGCATGGTCATGGGTTTCCATAAGTCCCCATCCCTGCTTACCCCTCCATTCCTCTCTCTTACACCCCTCTATTCCCTCTCCTAGACATCTCTATTCCCTTCGCCTTCATCTACTGTGATGGGGCAATGTAATGCAAGCTTCACATCCAGCACATCCAGTCTGAGGAGATGTATTTGAGACTGATATTGTTTGCAGTCTGTGAAAAGGTTTCCTCTCTCTCCATCACAGATTCAGGTCGTATTGTAAGAACACAAAACCTACTTGAGCATAATATTAACATGGGTAACTGAACGTATTTTGACTACCAACTCTCCTGAACGTTCCACTTGCCGCCTATATAAATTCTCATCTGGTTGTAATTAACAGCTGGATTCATAATAGATTGTGACACTCGGTGCTTGACTTGGCATCATTTTCTTATTTCCATACCAAATCAATTGGAAACTCAAGCAATAAAATAAACTTTAAGAGCTGAAATTAAATATCCATAGATAAATAGGTCGACATCCCCGTGAAAATAGTTTATTGTAGTTTTTGGATTCATTCTATATTATTCAGCGCACAATGAAAATTATGTTTTATTATTGTAAAACAATGTATGCTTTAATATCATATTTACACTGACATTTTGATCTGATAAACCCAATGACTTCAACTGGATTCATTCAATGGTCCCTCTCTTTTTGAAAGCACTAATGAAGAATCTTCTCTCAATTCACTTTGTCCCAAAATACACCAAACACATCTGGAGTAACATTGGTAATGTGGTACATGACTGCTTGTCAGAAAGTTGGGTGAAATTTTTAACTACAAGCCCTCTTCCTTTCATTGTAGGGGGTATGGTAGAATGACCTGGCAAAAAATTGTCCTGCTTACCTAATTCCAGAGAGTATTAGGCACAGGTTGGGGAGATCCAAGGCGTTGGGAGAACCACAGAGTGTGCATTGGGGTAACTTCTGAATTTGAACCAGCTAAAACCAATTCAAAGCACAGTCTGGCCAATTTTTCGGCTGCTTGTCCGGCAAGGACTATCCTTCCCTTTAGGGCTTTGACTTGTGGGGTGAACAGGAGCGGAGCCTGAAGAGTCTCTGCCCCCAATGACTCTGAATTCAAGTCCTACCGATGAGCTGGGCTGTGCTGTCATCAGCAGTGAATGCCCTGGAATACTGCAATCCTGCCTGGCTCAGTAACTGGACGACTGAGATCACCACAGAGGGTTTAACCAAAGTCCCGTCTACCTGTCTAATGTGGGTGTTCGTAAAGCTTTTGCAGAAGTCTGTTGCTCCCAGTGTCCTAGCCAACAATCCAGATGAATTGTTCATTCACTTCATTGCTGTTTGTGGAGTCTTACCTGCACAGGTGGCTGTTGTGTTTGCCTTTACACACTCACTACATCTGACAGTAAGCACTTGTCGAGGGATTTGATATGCTTTGACATGATTAGGTGCTAAAAAAATGCAATATCTTGCTACAACTCCATTGTGTACCATGTTCACATAGGAACACATAATAATAATAATCCTTGACTTTGATACAGTGCCTTATCACATCATTTAGACATCTGAAAGCGCTTCTCAGAATATACTGTAAAGTGGATTGAAAGTGTATTTTGTGGGCGAAACGCACAGGAGCATAGGTCACTAGGACAAGCTTACTTACGTGCATCAGTAGCGTGATTTAAATATCCATTTCTACCAGTTGTGTACTGTACATTCTGTGCCTGAACTATGCTCACATTTGGTGTTTAATTGATTCTCTACTGGATTATGTCCACCTCAAACACACTGCACCCGGGTAATGATGTACGTAGACACAGCTGTGCCAAAAGGGAAAAGTGGAGGAGAGGTGAGTGTGAGAGGATTCTATTTGTCAGTTACTCTGTGGCTGGATTCAAAGTGACATGAACTTTTAATAGCTGATAATTAACTAATCTTTTGTTAGGCAACAAGTGACGTACGTTGTTTGACAGGTGCTTATTTATTAAGGATATCAATACAGGATATCCCGGTTAAACAACACCACTCGCTTCCCTATAGGGTGATACCAAAGGGTGGCTCAGTCATATAGCAATGATGCAACACTCGGCAAATGTCGCCTATTGTGATACAGATAAACATTTATGTTAAACTCCTGGCTTTCAATGGAAAAAGGAATTACAAGCACTTGACATACCTAATTCAGCTGTTCCCTCACCAGGTGGGTGTGTGTGTGTATGAGTCAGACCAAGGTAATTCATAAACACCCTATCTTGCTCGCTCACGCTCTCTCTACACACAACATATGGTTACTTCACAGTGCCTGGGTTAAAGGCACAGAATGGTAAATATACTTTGGTTTTGAAGCCGGATACAGTGGTTTGCAAGATCCTGGCAACTCCCTACCCTGTTCAGGAGTGATTTCCATAGATATATTGGCTGTTGGAGAAGGCACTTTGAACTGGACTAATTAAGGTTGGGGGATGGAGGAGAAATTAAGGCAGGCGTCTCAGCTTATTGAGAAGCAATACCTGATCCATATCACCAGCAAAACATTGGGCAAGTTTCCTTACTCCACTGTTTACCCAGTAGTAAATAGGAACCCGGTTGTTAGTCGATTGGCGGAGTGCTTTTCTGGGGGTAATAATTCTTTTACTTCAAATAAAAATAATAAACTGGCCACTTCAATCCACAGCTGTTTGTGGGGACGCTGCTATGCGCAATTGGCTACCGCGTTTCGTCCACATATACACGGCCAATTCACTTACAGTATATCCTGTGAAGCGCTTTGAGACGTCTCAAAGACATGATAAGGCACCGTATCAAATGCAAGGATTATTATTACATCCTCAGAGTTATTGGTTGCATGATTCCTTCCTTAACAACTTTTGCGTGCTGTGTATTAATTCTGATGCCAACAGCATTTCATTGCTAACAGATGCCCAGACAGGATTGGATAAAGAAGGCAGAGGGTCTAACAATAAAATTGGTTGCCAGATTCTGGGCGTCCTCTAGCTTTGATTGTTACAGGTGAAGTTGGGGGTTGCAACACTGCTGTAATTCTTGCCATCTATATCTGGAGTTGAGGTACAAATCAGCTAACATCTCATTTGCTGAATGGCCCAGCAAATTCTTATGTTCAATGACACTCTGCTTTCGCTTTCAGCATTTCTCAGAGAATCTGGATGACTTCTCAAATGAGCTCTTCAGCAGTTTCTTCGATGACCCGCTGCTGGCCGAGAAGAACCACCTGCTGGACATGGAGCTGGATCCGGCCACTCCAGACATCCAGGCCGAACACAGCTACTCACTGAGTGGGGACTCAGCCCCCCAGAGCCCACTCATGCCCATCAAGATGGACGAATACAGCAAAGGTAAGGGAGACTTGTTAGCTGTTAGCCATCATTGAAGCAATGTGAAAGTAGGTCCCTCTTCTCCACTGATCAGCATGGAAAGCCTAACATAAACAAGTCATGAGTACTTATGCAGCTAAGGTCAATTAGGAATGTCCAATGCACAGATCTTGTAGGGTTGAGGACACTGAAAGCCTAGCCTGTCAAATCCTGCAGTCATAATTCAAGACCTAATGCACAGCTAGCGCAGGTCGGGGCATAAATGTTTTGTTACATAAAATCCTAGATCCAGTGAGTAGAGCCACAGGTCTGTGGAGCACTGGAGGGCATTACAGGTCTAGTCAGTGCTAAGTTAGCAAATCTCAGTCAGAGCCTTACAATAGGCCTCAGAACTCACTGGGTCAGACTTGTCAGATTCAGTGCTATAACTAGTCTTACAGTACATTGTTAAAAGGGGAAGTTTTCATACATTGGGGAGTTCAGGGACAAACTGAGTTCATAGAGCCCTGAATACTCAATTTAAGTAAGTTCTCACACAGCGAGTTGTTGGGATCTGGAGTGCATTGCCTGAAAGGGCGGTGGAAGCTGATTCAATAACAACTTTTAAGGGAGAAGTAGATAACTATTTGGGGACGACAAGTTTGTAGGGCTATGGGGATAGAGCGGGGGAGTGGGATTGATTTGGAAGCTCTTTTCAAAGAGCCGGTACAGACCCGATGGGCCGAATGGCCTCCTTCTGTGCTGTATAATTCTATGATGCACAACCTGGCTGGTTATCTTCTCTTCTGTGGCTTACTGTGATATGCTTTTACTTTCTATATGAAACGGATTCAGCTGGGAGCAGTGAGATGATAAGGCCACGGTGACCTGCACTGGTGTAATTGTTCGTTTCTCGTTTAAGAACCCAGTAAAGTCGCCACAACTAGCAACTCGTCTGGAGAGAAATCCCCTTTTAAGAGGCAGACAATGAAACCGGGCAAGAAGGGAATTGGTGCTGGAGGCGACTGTATAAACTTGGTTTGTCTGTAGTCTCTGCACCAGCTGAATCACTGCTCTGAGTGGAAACAGATGCTGCTCTGGAACCAGTCATCATAGAGACGGAGTCCTTGGTTAACCCTTCACAAGCCTGCGAGAGCTTGTTTATACCAAAAAAAAGACGACAAACACTTTGCCAATTTTCAACTCTCCTGAAAGCATTGGAATTTTTTTTCTAATAATAATAATCCTTATTTTTATTGCATACAATTCCACAGGCGTCGGGGACTACACTTGAAAGGTTTAAGTTCAAATAGACCAAAAAATCTTCTTAGTGGGTCTTTCTCGTGTAGGCTCGCCCCAACGGTTATTATTCATCCTGATCTTTGACCAACTAATGGAAGGCTATTTGTCCAATCCTTCCCCACCTACTTCCCCCTAAGGGCAAGATCAATTAAAAATAATCCTTGCATTTGATACAGCGCCTTGTCACGTTTTCGAGACTCTCAAAGCACTTCACAGAATATACTGTATAGTGAATTGACTGTGTATTTTGTGGGCGAAATGCGGCAGCCGATCGCGCACAGCAGCGTCCCACAAACAGTCATGGATTGAGTGACCTAATTATTGTTTTTTTTTTGGAAGGACTTATTACCCCCGGAAAAGCAATCTGCGAATTGATTAAAAACCGGGTTCCTACTTACTGTTAGCTAAACAGAGGCTTGTTGGAGTTAGGAAACTTGCGCAACGTTTAGCTCTGCCCGGGAATCGAACCCGGGTCCTCTCGCTTGCGAAGTGAGTTCTGTAACCACTGAGTTACAGGACTCCTTCAGTAGTACTTTGCAGCTCCCAAGTACAGTGAATAAAATAACTGGTTCCAGACAGCGGATAAACATTCCCAAGTGTAGTGTCTGGAGATTTCCTGATCCCACAGTCTTCCCCGAGACAGCTCATCCAACCCACACACAATGGGTAGGAGCAAATGTCAACCAACAGACAGGGGAATGTAGCTCTGCCTCTGAGGTGACTCATCATCACCGATGAGCAAAATAAGCCGGGGTCTTAAGGGACTATAACAGGCAATTCACCGTCTTACAGCTTCTCAGACACTATGAAAATTCTTGACCGTTCTCTAAGCTGGTTAAGCACCGTATGGCATCCCTCTGAGATTGAGATTGAGATTGTTTCGCTAACGCAAACCTCAGATAACCAAACTACAGCCGGGTAAAAGCCAGGCAGGGTGAACGCAACACTACTCTCCCAGCCAAAATCTCACTAGGATCAAAGGGAACTTCAGGACACAGGCCAAGAAATTTCATGTGCCGAGTCCAGATGGAGGGTTACACACACACAGATGTTTCTTTTTCCATTGACTGTTTGTGTTAGTCACAGAAATTGGATTCAGACACATGGGTCAGTTCACACCAATGCATGTGCCAGAGCATCACGATCATTAACTAACTAAACTCCCTCCCCTCCCCCCGCGCCTTGCTTTACTCTCCAGGTAACATAGGTAAATAGTTGGCCGTTGTTCCAGTCTATCTGCCAGCAGGATGTGGCTTTGCCTGGACCAGGAAACAGATTCTTAAAGCAAATCCGTCCCTTTGAGACGAACCGACTGCAAGACCAATTCTTTCATAGAAGGTTATTTTGCTTTAAGAAAAAAAAAGTCACAATTCTTGAGGCTTTTAGTCGATAATAGTTTCTGATTTTTTTTCGAACACGAGTGGAATACGGTTGTGCAGTTCAGTGGAACTTGTGCACCTACTTGTATCATTTTTCTTGTGGTCAGATGGTGCCTGACACTTGCAGAAAGCCAATAAAAAGTTTAAGAATAACCAAACTAAAGTTCCCCACGTGCCAGCTACACAAGGAAGCTTGTGTAGAGCCTGTATCTAGAACGCAACGGGCACTCTCTGCCTGGTGGGACGCACACTGACCAAATTCCAGAGAGCGTTAGGCGCAGGTTAGCAAGAGCTAAAGCTTCGGTGTACTAGAGCGGGTGCAGCGGAAAAACAACCACAACAACTTGCATTTATACAGCGCCCTTTACCCTGGGTAGCGTCCCGGAGCGCTTCGCGGTGGCGGAGTCTGACAACAAGGCAGGGGGAGAGGGGGTGGCGGGGAGGTGACCATAAGCACGATCAAAAAAACAGCTTAATAATAATATAATAATCCTTGCATTTGATATTGGGCCTTACCACCCCTTCGAGACGTCTCAAAGCACTTCATGGAGCATACTGTAAAGTGTAGTGACTGTGTATTTTGTGGGTGAAACGCGGCAGCCAATTGTGCACAACAGTGTCCCACAAACAGTCACGTGAGTTTAACCAGCTGAAACTACATAGCTTAAGAGCACTATTTGGCAAGGTTCCTTTGGTTATCTATAAGTAGGATCACCCTAACCATGAGAGGCTTGGCTTGCAGGGTCTGAGTGGAAAGAATCCCTGCTCCCAGTGACTGATCTGCCACTTCAGGTTGCACTGATGAGCCAGGCTGGGCTGTGCCGTCATCAGCGGTGCCCTGAAATACTATGGACCTATCTGGCTCAGGAACTGGTCTACCGAGACCACTACAGAGAACAGACTCGATGCTGACATTCCTTTGCCAAGCTCATCACATTGGGCCCAGTTGATCTCCAACGAGACTCCACTTACTTTTCCACCCTCCTGCCCCACCCGATCAGCTTCCCCTATTAGCTAGAAGACCTGGGTTCAATTCCCGGGCAGGGCGAAACGTTGGGAAAGTTTCCTTACTCGACAAGCCTCTGTTTACCCAGAAGTATGTAGGAACCTGGTCGTTAGTCGATTGGTCATCCTCACCTACAAGGCCATTCACGGCCTCGCTTCCTCCTACCTCTCCGACCTACTACCCCCCTACTACCTGCCTGTACCCCCCGTTCCTCTGGCTCCGGTCTGCTCCACATCGTCCGCCCCAACTGGGCCTTCAGCCTCTCAGCTCCGAGGCTCTGGAACTCCATCCCCCAGTGCCTTCGCCGCTTCCTCCCTTTCCTCCTTCAAGACCGGTCTCAAGACCTTTCTCTTTGACCGTGCATTCAGCTCCCCTCTCGACTCTCTACCCCCTCCTCGCTCCGTCCCTTGCATCCCCTCGCCCTGACCATTTCCCCCCTCCTCTCTCCCTCCCTTCCCTCACCCTGACCATTTCCCCCCTGCTCAGGTCCTGACCCAACTGTCCAGCGCCTTGGGACGTCCTCCCGACGTGAAAGGCGCTCTATAAATGGAATCTTGTTGTTGTTGTGTTGTTGCTTCTCCGGAGGTAATAATCCCTTCAAAAGAAAAATAAATAATAATTTGGTCACTCAATCCATGACTATTTGTGGGTAATTGGCTGCCACGTTTCGCCCACAAAATATAGTCAATTCACTTTACAGTATATTCTACGAAGAGCTTTGAGACGCCTTGAAGACGAGATAAGGCGCGATATCAAATATAAGGATGATTATGATTATTAATAATAGATCCAGTACCCCAAACTGCTCACAAAATGTGAACCAGCTTCTTAACCCATTTCCCTGGCAAGTCTCCTCAACCAATTTACACTATTCCAATTGATTGTGTTTTTAAAGGAGCGAGGGGAGGAGTGACTCTTAGGAATTCTATTTGGTCTTCACGATGGATAAAGATCAAAAAAGCCTATAAAACAGTCAGACAGGTACTAATGAGGCTGCCTTGTGCTGCGACTCTGATTCATCATCTATAATGAGCCTGTAAGCACAGCGTGAGGGGAGCATGGCTACCGCGGAGACTGGAAGTGTAAAGCACGGGAACTGACCACTGCAAAAGCAGCACCTGCACATGGAAATGGCGACTGTAGTCTGTCAGAGAAGCAGGTCCCTTGCAGCTCTCCCCAATTTCTAATTTCTCTTTGCAAACGCAATGTGGCCGCCACCGTACGGCCCCCAAAGCACCCAGTCAATCCACTTTACAGTGTATCTTGGGAAGCACTTTAAGATGTTGTGATAAGGCATCAAATGCAAGGATTATTACGGTGATGGTGATGATCCGGTAGTAATACTTGTTTCACAGATACAAGGAAGTAAGGTATCTTTTTGCCCTTCTCTCCATCAGGCTTTTGAGTCAAGTCTTCCTTGTGCCGGGCTAAGCTTTCACAGCGAGTTTACTGTTCAGGCTCACTCACGAATAGTAGTCAAGGAGCCCTTCAGCAGGACAATGGGTCAGAGCATTGATATTCCACCTGCAAGTAGACAACCACACAGGGCAGAGGTGCTGGAGAGAATAAAGGAGTGAACAAGCTTATCGAGAAAGTGTTCTAACCCTGTAGCTCAGCGGTTAGAGCACTCGCCCCCCAAGCGAGAGGACCTGGGTTCCAATCCCGGGCAGGGAAATCACTGGGCAAGTTTCCTTACTCCACTGTTTACCCAGCAGTAAGTAGGAACACGGCTGTTAGTCGATTGGCGGATCGCTTTTCTGGGGGTAATAAACCCTTCACAAAATAAATAGTAATATTAATAACTTGGTCACTCAATCCACGACTGTTTGTGGGACGCTGCTGTGCGCAATTGGCTGCCGTGTTTGGCCCAGAAATTTTACAGTCAATTCACTTTACAGTATATTCTGTGAAGCGCTTTGAGACGTCTCAAAGACGGGATAAGGCGCTGTGTCATGTTGAAGGATTATTATTATTATTATAATAAGCTGCTCAGGATACACCATATTTGCTTCTAGACTCTTATGTACAATCCCTGTGCATTGTTCTGTGTTTAATGCAATCTGTCCTGTGTCATATATTCCAGGCAGTTTGTTTTAGTGCTCGTTTTAACGGCCTTGAAAATGCTGAGTGGACCCAGGAACCTGCCTTCAAATCCGAAGTCAAGTTCTCAGCTAGCTAGGCCAACTGACGGCCGGCGGGCCACTTTCGGCCCGTGAGCCGATTTCATCTGGTTCCTCCCTCCATTTCATCTGGCCCGCCCGCTCCCTCCATAAATGCTATGTCTCTGGAAGGGAAGCCCCAAAACGCCCACAGACATTTCTCCAACAGGGCACCTGGCCCTCAGGAGCCAAAAAGTTGGACCATCCTGCCCTGGGCTATCAGGATGCCCCTCCTTTGGCTGTTTGGGCCACTTTAGAATCCAATGACTCCGCTGAACCTGCTATGAGATTGTAGTTTTTAAACCAAGTACTTCCGCAGCTACACTTTGACAGCAGTTGGAGCTCGCACAGAGGCAAGAGGGGAGAGAGAACAAAGGTTACGTTACACTGAAGCTCCCGCTGAGATGTTGCTGGGTATTTAAAGCACGGGAGTGATCTTTAAGTCCACTAATTACATTGTCAAGTCCAGATGGGCACATTCCTCATCTCAGGAATCTCTCTGATGCCAGTCTGCGCTCCCACACTGGTTCCCTTAATTATTCCAACTAACAAGGAGCAGCGCTGCACAAGTCTGGTGGAAACATGTCTGTGCCAGGTATTTCCTTTTATCCTACAGTAATTCTGCTCCTTTACAATTAAAGAGCGAGTCAACACACTCTTTTTTAAAAAAAGATTCAGATAATCAACCATATTGTGGAGTCCTATAGCGTATTGGTTAGAGCCCTCGCAAGCGAGAGGACCCGGGTTTGATTTCCGGGCGGGGCGAAACCTTGGCCAAGTTTCCTTCCTCCACGCACCTTTGCTTACCTTAGCGGCACGTAGGAACACGGTTGTTAGTTGATTGACCGATCGCTTTCCGGAGGGTAATAATCCCTCTCAAAAAAAAAAAAAAATTTGGTCACTCAAACCACAACTGCGCATTGAGTAACCGTTGCTGGATGAGTTTGTTAGTGGGAACCGTTGGGTCCAATTGGCTGCCACGTTTTGCCCACAAATACACAGTCATTACACTTTACAGTATATTCTGTGAAGCGCTTTGAGAAGTCTCGATGATATGATGATGTGCTATATCAAATGCACGGAACCTGCTATGAGATTGTATTATTATTATTATTATTATTATTATTACCCGAACTGTTGCTGAGAGTTCAATCTATTCAGGGATGAATGTAGGTCCAGTCTAGCTGTGCTGTTCACAGGCAATCTGCTGCCCTTGTAATAATAATAATAATAATAATAATAATAATTCTTGCATTTGATATAGCGCTTTTCACGTCTTCTAGACGTCTCAAAGCGCTTCAATTATATTGAATATATATTGAATTCAATTATATTGAATAAAATTATATTGGGTACGTCCTGTTCCAGGGGTAGAGTTTCATGCTGGCTTTCCTTTGAAATCGGGCAGTTGGTCTTTTAAAACTTTTTATAAGATTTCCTGGTGTTAAGCATTCAAGAAATCAAGTGAACAAGTAGCAAAGCGGGAAATCTTAGGAGGGGGTTATGTACGACAATGAGGAGAGTGTTAAATTAATTCCAGAAAGGGTGCATAATTTTACAGCATTTCAAGATGGTTACATATACCATAAAACTATTATACTGTGAACTCCTGTAGCTCAGTGGTTAGAGCACTCGCCTCGCAAGCGAGAGATCTGGGTTCGATTCCCGGGCAGGGCGAGACGGTGGGCAAGTTTCCTTACTACACACGCCTCTGTTTACCTCGGAGTAAGTAGGAACCCGGTTGTTAGTCGATTGGCAGCTCGCTTTTCCGGGGATAGCAATCCCTCAAAGAAGAAAAAATAATAAATTGGTCACTCAATCCACGGCTCTTTGTGGGACGCTGCTGTGCGCGATTGGCTGCCGCGTTTCGCCCACAAAATATACAGTCAATTCACTTTGCAGCGCATTCTGTGAAGCGCTTTGAGACATCTCGAAGACGTGAAAAGCGCCCTATCAAACGCAAGGGTTATAATTATGATTAAAAACATAAATCTTTCCGTGCAAGTCACAGAGCAGCAGAAAAGGCAGTAAAAATACGACCCTCAAAGAATTTCAGAGCAGCAGTCTGTCAATCGAGGCAAACGTTCAATCCACGACTGTTTGTGGGACGCTGCTGTGCGCAATTGGGCTGCCACATTCCTCCCACGGTCACAATATACGGTCACTCCACTTTACAATATATCCTGTGAAGCGCTTTGAGACGTCTCGAAGACGTGATAAGGCGCTGTATCAAATGCAAAGATTGCTGTTGTTGCTATTGCTATTATTATTATTATTATGTTGGGTGAACGAAACATTCAGCTATTTCCAAATCAATGAAGTAACTGATGTGCTGTTTTGCTATTTAAAGTCGGCTTCCTCCTTGTAAATGTGAAATGCAAAGTTTGCTCGGGTTAGCCAACAGCACATTACGTCCCAATATTAATAGCGTGCAGACATCACCTGATCGAGCCAGGAGACAGCATTCATCACCGAACGCTGAAACCAATACCTGTTCGTAATCGAGCTGGAATAAAGGAATTATTTCAGGAAGAGTCTGGTACCTTAACAAGAGTTAGAAGTCACATAAACCTTGAGTATGGCTGTTGTCTATTTGACTGCATGAGTCACCCACTTTCTGCTCTTCCGAGGGTGAATGACTCCTGGAGTGTGGCTTCTGTTGTGATAAGGATCCTAATTCCCCTCCCCACCCCCTCCCCCAACTCCCCACTCCTTTCTCAGTATTTAACCCATCCTTTCCTTCTTTCTTCCAGATACCGATGGTGGAATTTGGTCATTGGGACCAGACTTGACGAGCATCATGATCAAGCAGGAGCCAAACTTACTGTCTGACCCCTCCACGATGTCGTCCTTGACCCAGATCGGATCTCCCTCCGAGCAACAGTCGACCTCCACTGCATTGTCAGCAGAGGAGCCAGTGAGTATTCAACATGGTGGTGGCGCTGAGTGAGAGGGGCGTTGGGAGCAGACGGACGGACGATAGCTTGCATTTATATAGCGCCCCTCACGCAGGGTGGGTTCCGTTCCAGAGCGCTTGACTGTGACGGAGCCCGCCCAAGAGTGGGGGGGGGGGAGTGACTGTAGTACTGTCGAAGAGGAAGGTCTGAAGATGGGGAAGGAGGGGGCGAGTCGGAGGGATAGAGGGAGAGTGTTCCAGGGGCGTAGAGGCTGAAAGCTCGGCCACTGATGGTGGAGGAGGGGGGACAAGCAGGAGGCCGGATCCAGTCGAGCGGAGGCAGCGGGTAGCGGGTTGGCAGGGGGTAAGCAGGTCGGAGAGAGGTAGGGAGGTGCCAGGCTGTGAAGGGATTTGAAGACGATTTGAGAGGATCTTGAAATGGATCTGTTTGGTGATCGGGAGCCAGTGGAGCCTGGCGAGGACCGGGGTGTTGGGGGGACGGAGTTTAGTGCGAGTCAAGATCTCATAATCAAAGGCAATGCCTCTGTTAGTAATTTGCTCAGGGTTATTCTATTCATTGATTCAAATGCAGTTTAGGGAAAAGTTTTTTTTAGAAATAAATGGAATTAAACGTGCGTATATTGTGTCTTTAGGGAGTGTAGTGCAAATGAATTATACTTGTCATGGTCTTGTAAATTGTTCCTGTGAGTCACTTAGACACGATCCAGTCAAACCAGTACTTTTTGATTTCCTCATAAGATGGAGTGAGAGATATGATGATGAACAGCAACAACACAACAATAAATGTCATTTACACGGTGCCTTTCATGTCGGGAGGACGTCCCAAGGCGCTGGACAGTCAGGGATTTGGACCTGAGAAGGGGGGTGGGATCAGGAGGGGTGGCGGGCAGGGAGAGTGGGGGTAGGAGGGTAGGGGTGGGAGGATGGAAGTAGGAGGGTGGAGGGGGTAACAGGGTGACCGAAGACTGAAACCCTGAGCTCCCCCTGTATCTCTTCCTAGAGAGGATTGAGAGACCAGGTTTATAGAATTATACAGCATAGAAGGAGGCCATTCGGCCCACGGTGTCTGTCTTTGAAAAGAGCTTCCAAATCAACCCCACTCCTCCTCTCTCTCCCCATAGCCCCGATCAACCCCACCCCCGCTCTCTCCCCATAGCCCTAATCAACCCCACCCCCGCTCTCTCCCCATAGCCCCGATCAACCCCACTCCCCCGCTCTCTCCCCATAGCCCTGATCAACCCCACTCCCTGCTCTCTCCCCACAGCCCTGATCAACCCCACTCCCCGCTCTCTCTCCATAGCCCTGATCAACCTCACTCCCCCGCGTTCTCTCCCCATAGCCCCGCAAACTTATCCTCCCCAATTAATTATCCAAGCAAGCCATCAGTATGACATTTTACCAACACAAGCAGATAGGCAGAGTCCTGTATCTTACAGTGCTCACCTCGCAAGCGAGAGGACCTGGGTTCGATTCCCGGGCAGGGCAAAATTTAGGCAAGTTTCCTTATCCACACACCTCCACGCTGCTGTGCCCAAGATTGTTCAGTGGGTTCACTTCATATTCCGAGATGACTCGAAGACGTGACAAGGCGCTGTATCAAATACCAGGATTATTATTACAATAATTTACATAAAGAAATGATTTGCTGCCGTCAAGCTCTGCTCTTCGTCAGCTTGTACCTTTACCGTCTGAACAGCTTCACTGCTTTGCTTTCTCGCAGATCCAGACAGAACCGCCTCAAATCAAAACGGAGCCCAAAGATTTCAACCAGTTGCTCAGCGTCCCAGCAGGTAGGAAGCCGGGGGGAAGATAGGCATCAAACGGTCACTGACGCTCAGCTCAGTACGATTTAGATGTCGGGAATATATCTCAAAACGTTTGGCAATCCTGGCTGGGCATCTGGGCTGAAGGCTGGGGGGCTGGTTGGGGGGGGGAAAGGGGAAAGATGACCAAAAGCGCAGTCGAAGAGGTATGTTTTGAGACGGGCCTTGAATAAGGGGAGAGAGAGAGAGAGAGAGAGAGATCGAAGAGACTCTGTGATGGAGTTCCAGAGAGCAGGGGCAGAATGGATAAAAGCCCCTTCTGTGGGAAGGTTAGGGTTGGGGACGTTAAGCAGACCAGTAAAGATCCCATGATCTTGCGTACAATTCAGTCTCAGCTGAAACTACAAACCTTATTATCCTTATTGTCCTTATTGTGCTTGTTAGACACCGGGAAACACGGCAGCGCTTGTTCTTTAGGCCCAGTAAAAGTCCAATAAATATTGGGCTTCTTTAACAAAGAAAATTGATGGCAAGACGGTTTAACTGGCTTCTTACCGTCACGTGTGGCGTAAGTGAAACATACCACATGGAAGAACAATCAGACTTCCACTCAGGAGGAACTCAGTGAGAAAATAGGAGTTTACTCGGCGAAAGAAGACCGAGGTCCATCTAGTTCGCCTTCTTGACAGTTCGTGTCCCAATGTATGGATGAGATCTTTCCAACTGATTCCTCTCATGAGTGTGGTCACTCTGGGTGTTCCCTGCATCGTGGAGTCTGTAGTATGTTGGTTAGAGCACTCGCCTCGCAAACGAGAGGTGGTGGGTTTGAATCCCAGGCAGGGCGAGACATTAGGCAAGTTTCCTTACTCCACGCTTCTGCTTACCCAGCAGTAAGTAGGGCCCGGTTGTTAGTCGACTGGCGGATTGCCTTCCGGTGGTAATGATAATAATTTGGTCACTCAATCCACGACTGTTTGTGTTCGCAATTGGCTGCCGCGTTTCACCCACAAAATATACAGTCAATTCACTTTACACTATATTCTCTGAAGCGCTTTGAGACGTCTCGAAGACGTGCTAAGGCGTTATACGAAATGCAAGGATCATTATTAATGATGTTATTATTGTTATCATTATTTTGTTATTATTATTCTGTTGTTTAACCTCTGTTGGGATTTGTGGTGACTGAGAAGCCTGATTCGTGTTTCCTTCCTGTTTCCCACCAGATGAGATGGTGCAATTGCCTCCGACACCTCCCAGCAGCCACAGCAGTGACAGCGATGGCTCCCAGAGTCCCAGGTCCCTCCCTCCCTCCAGCCCGGCCCGGCCTCAACCTCGTTCGTCCAGTGCCATTTCCTCATCTCCTCTTCTTACAGCTCCTCACGTATGGAGAATGAACTACTTATACCTTTGATAGCGCTTGAGAGCAGCGTAATCGCGTTGGCCTGGGTGGACAGGGTGAGGGTGTGTGTGGGGGGGTGGTTGGGGGCAGGGGGATATGAATCCATCAGTAATTGTAGGAGCACAAATCTGAGGGCCTGTCTGTGCATTACAGAAGCTGCAGGGCACGTCAGGCCCGCTGATTCTCACTGAGGAGGAGAAGCGGACCCTCATCGCCGAGGGGTACCCCATCCCCAACAAGCTGCCCCTCACAAAGGCCGAGGAGAAAGCACTGAAGCGAGTCCGCAGAAAGATCAAGAATAAGGTACAGTCCAAATGAAGACAGTTGTGGAGATTTCCGTGTCACCTCTGCCTTTCCCCGGGGTTTATTATTGCCCGACTCCACTGACTTCCCATTACACAGAGGATATAGTTCAAGATCTTGGTCCACACCTTCAAAGCCCTCCATGGTCTTGCTCCCCTCCTACCTCTGTGACCTCCTGAGCCTGTACCATCCTGTTCGCTTCCTCCGCTCAGCGGGCTCCGGCCTGCTTCACACTCCCCCCCACACTTCGCTCGCTCGCTCCATCATTGGCAGACAGGCCTTCAGCCACTCTGCTCCATCCTCTGGAACTCCATCCCGCAGTCCCTCCACCTCGCCCTCCCTTGCCTCCTTCAAGACCCATCTCAAGACCCTCCTCTTTGACCGTAAGTTCCCCTTCCCCTCCCCGGATCCCGTCAGCTTTGGAATGTGCCATCAGTGACGGGCTCAAACCTAGATAAAAGCATCCTTGATGGTGTTGAAAGGGACGTTACAGTCACTGTTATAAGTCAGAGTTCAATTGGCCCTCAGGGTTTATTGCAGCAACTTGGCTCAGTTTTGTAGCATTCTCCCACTTGGGTCAGAGGTCAAGACCAATAGCACTTTGAGATGTGATAAGGTGCTATATTACTATACAGAGCTTCTCACACAGAGTAGCATCTCAGACACTCCCAACGCAGTGTGGTCAGAATACCTTTCCTTTCAATGTAATGTTAAACCAATGCTCCTTCTCCCTGGTCAGGTATCCTGATGATATCGGTACAGAGAAGGAGGTTTTCCTTGGTGTTCTGATAAATTGGTTGTTTGACCTACAAAAAACAGGCGCTTTCACATTCAATGAGAATTCCCCGTATTATAGCTGCTGTAAAAGTGCAGGGATTGTGATCTGCTTGTTATTATCTGCTCTGTAATGTGACTATCGTTCAATGCAGATTTCTGCCCAGGAGAGTCGGAGGAAGAAGAAGGAATATGTGGACAGTCTCGAGAAAAAGTGAGTGTGAAGTTGCTGAAGGTTCACTACAACTACAGCTTGCATTTGTACAGGGCCCCTCATTCAGGATAGCGTCTCTGAGCACTTAACAGTGACGGAGCCGGTGGGAGGTGGAGGTGCCCTTAGACACGGTCAAGTAGGAAGGTCTTCAGGCGTGACCTGAAGAGGGGGAAGGAGGGAGCAAGGCGGAGGGAGCAAGGCAGAGGGATAAAGGGAGAGTGGTCCAGAGTTTCAGGGCGTACCTTCCACTGACTTGAGCTTGACGATCAGTCTTGTCAAGTGTAACGTTTAGGGTTTTCCTACCAGAAATGTATTTACAGTATTTTACCCTAATTCCCTGGATATTACTCTGCCAACCGGTCGATGCCGCCGAGCAGACAGGGTTTCGCACGTGCTCAATAAAAACAAAGAGGAGCGGTATTTACCGCAGTTTAAACAAAAACGGATATATTTTTATTTCCAGATGCAGGAAATGTGCATTGGGCTGTGTTATCAATTGGGCTGAACAGTTCAATCAGTCCTTCCTCTGGTCTCTTTCGACGTGCTTGACAGCGCCACCTAGTGGAGCATCCCTCCCCTCACACACACACCCCCGCAGCCCCCCCCCCACCACCCCCACTCCCCGCCGGGTCTACTCTGTCATATTGGTACCTGTGTCATGTGTGACCCGCGAGTGAGTTTTAATTATAATTTGAAATAGCGCCTTATCACGCCTTCGAGTCGTCTCAAAGCGCTTCACAGAATGTGCTGTAAAGTGAAGTGACCGTATATATTTTGTGGGCGAAACGCGGCAGCCAATTAATTGCGCACAGAAGTGTCCCCACAAACAGTCGTCGTGGATTGAAGGGACCAAATTATTATTATTATTATTATTTCATTATTTTATATTTTTGGTGGGGTTATTACAACCCCCGGAAAAGCGTCGCAAACACAGTTTGTGTTGGGAGGGAGAGCTTGACTTGCTTACCTACCAGCAAACAGGTTGGTTAGACGATTGGCGGATCGCTTTTGGGGGTAATAATCCTTTTTAGAAAATAATAATAATAATAATTTGGTCACCCAATCTACGACTGAGGAAGATTATTATTATTTTTCTGCATCTGACCTGTTGTACCTGACCTGTGTGAGATGGATGAGGGCTGTGGGAAGCTATTACCCAGAGCGGTGATATCCTGTTTGAGTGAACAGGAGCTGTGTGTGCAGCATGTGATGAGGTTATTGGATTTGTTTCGTTACAGGGTGGAGACGTACACCTCGGAAAACAATGAGCTGTGGAAAAAAGTGGAGACTCTGGAGAACGCAAATAGGTAAGGCAGGAGTTTAAGTGTATCCTGGAACACGTTCTATGTGCCAGTGAGTAACCTCAGCCCAGCGTGTGCAAAATTACCCAAGTAGGTTTATCCCTCTCTAGACTTCATCCTCTCCTCCCTGCACAAGTCATGGATAGAAGATGCCTTTCAGATCCGAGTCGTTGGGATCTGAAACGCATTGGCCTGAAAGGCTGGTGGAAGCCGATTTGATAATAACTTTTAAGAGAGAAGCAGATAATTATTTGGGGAGCACAAGTTTGCAGGGCTATGGGGAAGAGGGAGGAGGAGTGGGGTTAATTTGGACAGCTCTTTTCAAAGAGCTGGTACAGACCCGATGGGCTGAATGGCCTCTTTCTGTGCTGTATAATTCTATGATTCTAAAACACTCCGCCCCAGCAGAAAGACTTAGGCTTAACATTTCGTCAAAATAGCACTCTGCGCTACCTTGGCAAACTACCCATTTTTCTTGGTTTAGACTGCAGCATTTACCCCCAACGCACACTCTGGGGTTCCTCCAATCCTTGGCTCTTGCCAACCTACGTCTAATACTCTCCGGAATTAGGTAAGCAGGATGCATCCCTCCAGGGAGAGAGAGAGAGAGTGCGTATTCCATTCCGGCAATCTACTCTGGGATGTCCAGGTGTAGGTGGGATGAGTGGAATACTCAGCTCAGTTTGGAGACTCTTAAACACTGTGATGGGTTTCCGCGTGTGTCAGACACCTGGATGGGCTCAAAAAAATGTATCAGCCTTGAACTTAAGTCCTGACGTGGAAAGTAGGAGAGATGGAAATTGGACGAGAGGAGGGGAGAGAAATTAGAAATATGATTGACAATTTGTGTTTAAAGGTAACGTCTTTCTCTCTCCCCCTCATTAAAGCAGAGTTTAATCTCAGATTCATTACCTGAAGTCCAGGATACATTAGTAGGTTTGGAGTTCAACACTTTGCTGGGTTACAGTGCCCTCTACCGGCCACACTCTGCACCTCAGAACAGCATCAAACACTTTCCGCAGTTCATGAGATGCTGACTTTCTACGAACAAGTTTTTTGTTAAATTGAAAGCTTAAATGGAGGTCAGTAGTGCAGTACTGTTGGGCATCAACCTCACGGCTGTGTGTCTGTGTAAAATGGCCCCTGAGTTTTGCCTACAAGAACAATCACTTGACAGTTTGAGACGTTAGGGACATGAGTTGGCTTCTGTGCTGGGACATAACCGTCCCCAATGAGCTCAGTTTGGGAGACTAGTCCCTGGTCCATTGTGAGGTCGGGGTTGTCTCCTCTGGTTTTGAAGGAGCTCCTCAAACATGTCCAAACTGGGATAAAACGGTTTTCAATCTGTTGCAATTCCTGGGACTTGAACCATGTGGACAACGAGGAAGGAAGTGGGATTGAGCGCCTGAGAGAGGTGATGTCTCTGAGCTCAACAACAACAACAAATGAATTTACGCAGCACCTTTCACATCAGTGGGATGTCCCAAGGTCCTGGACAGTCAGGGATTCGGACCTGAGCTGGGGATTAGGATCAGAAGGGATGAGTGGAGGGCAGGGAGGGTCGGGGGTAGGAGGTTGACCATAGCCGCGGTCGAAGAGGAGGGTCTTGAGACGGGCCTTGAAGGAGGAGGGGGAGGGAGCAAGGCCGAGGGAACGTGAGATGGAGTTCCAAAGGGTGGGTGGGGGTGGGGGTGAGAGGTTGAAGGACTGACCACCGATGGTGGGGCGGGCTGGGCAGGGGGACAAGCCAGAGCCCGCTGAGCGGAGCGAGCGAGAAGGTCAACCTGAAAGAGGTACAGTTGGCACTGAAGGGTGAATTCTCTCTCTCTCTACGTTCACCCAGAAACCGACACAGTCACTGCACTTGACAGTATATCCCGTGTCAGCGCTTTGTGACACCCTCCTGACGTGAAAGGTGTTATACCAAATCTAAGGCTTATTATTATTATTATTAATACATCCTCCATCTGTTTCAGGACCCTGCTGCAACAGTTACAGAAGCTGCAAGCAATGGTGGCCGGAAAGGTGACCCGACAATGCAGAATGGCATCAACGCAGACGGGAACCTGCCTGATGGTAAGAGCCAGACTCAAAAGAGGGACGAACAACATCGACTGACTTCAGTGAACAGACACATCCTGGGGCAGTGATGCCTTGGAAAGAGTGGGAGAATATGAGACCGGTCGAATCAATCAGCCTGGTTTAAGGGCTTATACATTCTAGGAAGAAGGGAAGACTCGAGAAAATGGAGTAATAACACAAAGTAATTTTGACCTACGTCAGGGGTGGGGGCGGGGTATGTCCAACCTTCTGGCTGCTGGGGCTTGATGGCCTATTTGAGGAACGTCATTGAGCAATATTTTGGTGGATCCCTTCCAGAGACGTTACACAACATAACACTTACTGGTTGTGGAGGGAGTGGGTGAAATGGAAGAGGGTTGGGGAGGAGGGGATGAAATTGGTCCATGAGCCAGTTGGATCATTCTGCGACCTTTCTATCTATCACTAGTGGGGGTTTGACAAGGAGCCCATGTTTCTTGCAATGAGTTCCTCAGGGTTTGTTCCCTTGTTTTAGGTCGTGGCTGTCTGTTTCATTCTGGTCCTGGGCTCCTTCATGCCCTGCCTTCCAGAATTTTCTTCAGTGTCTCAGACGGTGAAGGCTACTCCCCTCTCTGCCGCTGACGTCTACACCACCAGCCAGAGTAAGTGCCGTTCGCTCCTCTCTCACTGTCGCCCTCTCTCAGCGCTGCACTCGCCTGCACCTTAAAGGCCTTCAATTCACTTCTAAAGGACCGATTGGAGTCCTGTAGCTCAGTGGTTAGAGCCCTCACCTCGCAAGCGAGAGGACCTGGGTTTGATTCCCGGGCAGGATGAAATGTTGGGCAAGTTTCCTCTGTTTACCCAGCAGTAAGTAAAAACCCGGGGGTAATAATTCCATCAAGATAATAATAATTCGGTCACTCAGTGCACGACTGTTTGTGGGACGCTGCTGTGCACAATTGGCTGCCGCGTTTCGCCCACAAAATACACAGTCACTCCACTTCGCAGTATATCTTGTGAAGCGCTTTGAGACGTCTCGAAGACGTGATAAGGCGCTGTTTCAAATGCAAGGATTAATATTATTATTATTGACTCCACTTGTTGTGAGCAAGTTGAAAGTTTGCTGTAAAATTACTGACCAGTGAGATTATGTAACAACCTACTGTATGTTTAGCAGTTTCCCTGTGTTGGCCTTTTCTATGGTCCTGTAAAATGTAGAGTCATGGCTTCCAAAGCCTGTTAATACACACCCTGCATTTTCTACACCTCGTTACTGTTTCTTGTTCAACATTCCCATTTATCCACATTCAAATTCATGCTCTAAATTGCTCCAGATCTTCCCGGAAGCTATTTATGCCCCTCTTTATTATTCACCTGCCCACATACCTCAGTATCATCAGCGTGTTGTATAACATTATACTCCTCCGTGTCTTTTAATAATATTCTCTATAATAATTCTGCTGGTGTGGTCCTACTCAGTGACAAGAGGCTTTTCAAATAATGTGTGGTTGGCCAATGCAATTTGCACCATTGATGTGACCTGATTCCGCACTGAAGTAATTGTGACATAACCACCACAAAACTATTAAAAATACTAATAATGCTCACACTTGATAAGAGAGCCTGCAACATCAAACCCACAAAATACACACTTAATATGGAGTGCTATAGCGTATTGGTTAGAGCCCACAAGTGAGAGGACCAGGGTTTGATTCCTGGGCAGGTCGAAATCTTGGCCAAGTTTCCTTCCTCCACACGTCTCTGTCCGTAGGAACCTGGTTGTTAGTCGATCGGGGGATCCCTTTCGAGAGGGTAATAATCCCTCTAAAAAAAATTATAATTTGGTCACTCAAACCAGGACTGTGCATTGAGTAACCATTGCTGGATGAGCTGCTGTGGCTAATTGGCTGCCACGTTTCGCCCACAAATACACAGTCACTGCACTTTACGGAATATTCCTTGAAGCGCTTTGAGACGTCTCCACGACGTGATATCAAATGCAAAGATTATTATTATTATTATTATCATTAAACCGTTTCACAGCGGGTTCCTGTCTATGGTGACTGAATTTGGAAACAATTAACGCAATCGATTTGCACGCAGCGAGGTACGGCAAACAGCCCCAAAGGTGGCCATGTCATTAACAGAGGCTACAGCCCTGGGAGAAACTCGCTGTGGGATAGATAGATGGCACCTTGGTATAACAGCCCCTCCAAACCACAGGACTTCCAACAATGCTCAACACTGGACAACGGAGCGTCAATCTGGACTGTGAGCTCAAGTCTTAAGGTGTAGCTTGAACTCGCAACCGTCTGACACAGGGCCAGCTGACACCTAAATAAATAGGGTGAACATCAGGGGACCCAGAGCAGACAGAAGGGTTCAGTGTCCGTCCGGCACAGGGTCTGTGCCTCAGTTGTGAAAATCAAGGTTGATTTCCTGTGTTCAGTAACAAAAAGCCTCAAATGCTCACACTGTTTCCTTCAGTCTCACTGCGCCATCTGAAGGGAAATGGTTGTGCGGCCGTTAAATAGATCAACGTCATTTTCTGGGCATTTCCTGTCGTTTCCTCATTTTTCCTCTTTTTCCCCCCTCCTCCTGCTTTTTTGCCCCCCTATCCCCTCACCCACCCCTACCTCCCCGCCCGCCCGCCACTTCCAAACCTGAAAATCCACTTAAAAATTGCCATTAAATAAAAAATAATCCTCGCATTTGATACATCGCCTTATCACGTCTCAAGGTGCTTCACAGGATACACTGTAAAGTGAATTGAGTATATTTTGTGGGCGAAATGCGGCAGTCAATCGCGGACAGCAGCGTCCCCACAAACAGCCGTGGATTGAAGTGACTAATTTATTATTATTATCTATTGATTTCTTTTTTGAAGGGATAATACCTCCGCAATAGGGATCCTCAAATCGATTAACAACTGGGTTCCTACTCGTTGCTGGGTAAACAGGGGCATGTGGAGTAAGGAAACTTGCCCCAATGTTTCGCCCTGCCCGGGAATCGAACCCATTGCAAATAGTTTAAATAGGATCTGTTTCCTTTGTGCCTCAACCCTCATTTGTACGCGTGGGAAGAACAGTATTCACACCACCCAGGATTAGTTTAATCTGGTTTCTGAAACCGATCCCAGTCTTGGATCTTGTGTAACACAAGTCGCTAATTCATTTAGTGTCACAGAGCAGTATCATATAGGAACAGAGGAACAGGAGTAGGCCTTTCAGCCCCTCCAGCCTGTTCCGCCATACTATTGTGCCGTGGCCGATCTGTACCGTGGCTGTAACTGGGCCCAAATGGAGCAGACGCCAACTTGGGTCAAATCCCCAACCGGACGGGAGCTGAGATCGTGGGGCGAGGGCTAGGGAAATGATAGCAGCGGGGAACGATTGAGAGGGTGTAGAGTGATAGAGCGAGAGAGAGAGAGATTTGGGAAGCAAAGGGTGTTAAGAGACAATGAGGAAAAAGGTGTGGGAAACGGAATTAAAGCGGGCCTTAATAGCAGGGCACAATCCCGCCTCGAAGGGCGTTCTCCTCTTCTTTTAAGTGGGTACGTTTCCTTTGTCGCTGGCACTGCCACCCTATGCTCAGCCAGTAAGGGGAGCTGCAGCCCATCGCTGGGTTCCTTCCAATGTCTTTTCAATGAGCAAGGGAATGAAGAAGACATCCTGTTTGGGTCACTCTCTCAATGGAGGGTTCCCTGCCTGTCCCTCACGCCCTCAGTTCCACCGTGGAGTCCTATAGCTCAGTGGTTAGAGCACTCGCTTTGCAAGCGAGAGACCTGAGTTCAATTCCAGGCAGAGGGCGAAACCTTGGGCAAGTTTCCTTACTCCACACAGAGCCTAATAATAATCCCTCCAAAAACAATAATAAATTGGTTATTTTCAATCCACAACTGTTTGTGGGACATTGCTGTGCGCAATTGGCTGCCGCTTTCGCCCACAAATATACAGTCACTTCACTTTACAGTGTGTTCTGTGAAGCGCTTTGGGACGTCCTCCCGACGTGAAAAGCGCTATATCAAATGCAAGGATTATTATTATTAGTAGTAGTAGTAGTAGTAGCCTCACCCTCAGCCGCTACTCTACAAAACTCTGGAACACTATCCCTTCACTTTAACACCCACTTCTGACCCCATTTTCAGCTCGAGCCTGCTTCATGTCTCCCCCCACACCCCTCCCCCACACCCCCAACCCCCCGCCTCGCCCTCCCACCATTGGCGGGTGGGCCTTCAGCCTCTCTGCCACCACCATCTGGAACTCCATCCTGCAATGCCTCCGCCTCTCCCCCTTCCCTCTCCTCCATCAAGACCCGTCTCAAGACCTCCTCTTCGACCGCGCCGTCGGTCAACCTCCTTCCGCACCTGCCCTCCCCTACCCTCCACCTCTCCACCTGACCCCAACCACCAGCTCGGGGGCGGGATCCTTGAACGTCCAGGTTCTCGGGACGTCCTCCTGATGCGATTGACTCTGCGCAGGTGTACAACTTGTTGCTGTTGTCGTAGCCATACTTTTGGGGTGTTGGTGGAGGGGCTGCATAACTATGCAGGCAGAGCAGGAACGTACATGGACAACCTGTTACTCATTTCTCCCCCTTTGTCGTGCGTAGTCCGATCCAGGAGTCTGCTGTTTTATGACGAGGGATCCTCACTGGAAGATCACTACACGGGTTTCTTCCCAGTCGACAACTCGGAGAAGTGGGAACCGATGAGCAGAGGTCCGAGCGAGAAGAGGTTGTACGATCAGTCGCCCGACCACATGACGTGGTCGCAAGAGGCATCCAAATACTTAAGTGAAGCCCACATGGATACCAACAAGTCAGATCCCAGTGAATTAATTCAGGAAAAAGCGCATCGTGAGAGGTGGGCATTGGCGACTGTAATTACAGCCAAATCTTTGTAACTGAACTGCTCTTTAGACGGGGCCCTGGTATAGAGATCCTTTTATTTTGCAAGCCTGAAATGTACAATATTTTTTGCGCTGTGGGATTGTGTACGTGTGTGTAGACGTGTGCGTGAGTGTACAAGTGTGTACGTGCGCTCGCGCGCGTGTGTGTATACGCGTGTGGGTGTATATGTGTGTGAGCGCGTATGTGTGTACGTGTGTAGGTGCTCAAGTGTGTACGTGTGTACGTATGTCTGGCGTGTGGTATGTGCTGCATGGACAATGTGTCTGTGGAATGTCTGTTTGCGTGCAGGTATTTAGTTATCCATTAGTTCTGCATTCGGAGCTATTTTTCTCCCTTTGTCCATCCCTATTCTCTGGTGAACCTTTCTGTTCTGTGTACATTCCTGCTTCTCTCACCAGTTTCCCCACTGCCCTCAGTGTCGCTGCGTGTGCCCCACCTCTGTCACTGCCAATGTCTGGGAGACGAAGGTGATTTGGGACTCACTCTCCGGTTGGGTACGGGATACGGGATGTTTCCTGGAGCTCTTTGCGATCCGCTATACATTGCACAAGGAGAGTCACTAAGACAAGTTCGAGTGAGCAACGAGGGAATAGATACATCGAATCACATCAAATTTTGCCCAATGTTTTTATAACACTTTGTGGTATGGGTTTCATCATCAGGAGAGAGCAAAAAAACCAACGGGGCGAGGGTGGTGTTGGGAATAGGTTAGGAGGGAGACTAGAAAGCTTTGGAATGAACGGGGGAAGAAAGGTTAGCAATGGTTTGAGGCCCTGAACAAGGATTAGGGCCGGGAACTGTGTAGTTTGTGATGTAGTCACTGCCTACCAGTTATGTGGTTTGAGAAGTGTTATAATTCAAGACATCCGTCATGCGAGATTCCTGACAGCGTGGGAATGGTGTGCAGATCATATGTTATAGCCGCTATTTAGAAATAAAATTGCATTCAAATATTTTCGTGGAGCTCGGTGTAATTCTTTCATCCACTGACCTCGAGCACAGTCACAGTATCAGCTTATCGGTATATCCAGCAGTCAGGAGGTTGAACATCAGTATTGAGCTAACAAATGGGTCCCAGTTTTTACCGAGCATTTTATTGCTGGGCTGAGAGGCTGGGAAACTCTTTTCACTCAGAGCCTGAAGACAGGGGAAGCGACTGCTCTCAGCTCACTTCACTTTAGGCTTCAGAGCAAGAGCCAAAGGCACCTCTGCCTCCAGAGATTAGTTTAGCTCATTGAGATGTAGCTGTTTAACTCGGGAGTCGTGTAGCTCAGTGGTTAGTGCGCTCACCTCACAAGGCAATCCCATCACAATATTTTCCAATAATAATTTGGTCACTCAATCCATGAACTGTTTGTGGGAGACTGCTGTGCGCAATTGGCTGCCCACTGACTATACAGTCCATTCACTTTACAGTGTATTCTGCGAAGCGCTTTGAGACGTCTCAACCACATGCAGGTTTAGATTGTTACGTCCAGTTGGATTTAGAACCTAGATCGACCGTTGAGAGATTCAAATGAGGGCACATTAACTGCCATCACCTTCGTAGCAGTCACCTCACATTAAAAGCGTAACTTTTTGTTTTAATGTACTTGTGTTTTGCAGGGGGATTGGATCAGATAGCACAGCAGAATATTTGTAATTAACAGTCACGGGCTGCACACGGGCAGCCTAGGATCAACTCCTGACTGAAGGCTTGGGCTGTCAGACCAGCCAGACAGAGCCGTGTGTCGGTCTCTCTCCCGTCCTGTGCTCAGGCCTCTCCCGGCGTCATGGATCGTCATCATTATGCACCTCGCAAGTGTGTTGGACTGAAGTGTGCCATACCGCAGAGAATCAGGGTAGCTAGGCCAAGCCGGTGGGGGGGTGGGAAGAGAAAACTACAGTAAAACTCACACAAGTCGGATTGGCTGCCTGGTTTCGCCCACGCAATATACAGTCACTTTACAATATAATCTGTGAAGCACTTTGAGACTTCTCAAAGACGTGATAAGGCGCTATATCAAATGCAAGTATTATTATTACTTATCTGTACAATCACCCAAATTGGACATCTGCCCAAGTCCCCTTCAAAGAGTTTATAATCTATGCGAGTTTGACTCAACTCATACTTTGCATAAGTCATATTAAATGTACAAACCGATACGACTTATGTGAGGTTTACTGTATCTGTGTCAATTTTTTAAAAAAAAGTTTTGCCTTGAAACTGAACTAACATTTCCTTTCATTACGAATTCCTGGATTTTTGTTGCTTAATATCCAAACTGATTTCTTTTTCAATTTGCCGTTTTCTTTTCTAAAACGTTCCTTCGGTGGAAAAACTTTTTCTTTTGCTCTTCAACTTGCTTCCAAATGCTCAGAAAAAGAATGCGCTGCACAGTTTTGGGGGTTCTCGGTGGGGGGGGTGGGGTTGGGTGGGCTGCGGTTGGGGGTTCGGGGGGGGTTAGGGGGTGATGGAGAGATACTGTGTAAAACTCTACCTCTAGGCGAGAAAGTGCCTGAGTTTGCACCTGCGTTAACGTGAATCCTCCACAATTCACTGCGATGAACGGTTGAGTCCAGTCAAAGAGGAGTTCCTTTGTATTTGTTTATTTTGTTTTTAAATAAATAGTTTTTTTTCTCTCTCTCTCTCAAAGTCAACATGACGCCCTCAGAAGCACATTGAGAAAAAACATTTAATGTCCTGTTAAATTGCATATTTAAGCGGTCTGAATAAAGTTGTTCCTTTGTATTTCATTACAAAAGGCTCTCTGGTCTCCTCCGCTATTTTCCACTCAGCTTTTTGGGGTTGCGGTGGCGGGGAGGGGAGAACAGAGCAGGCACCAATCATTACTCTAACCCCCACCTTAAATAATTAAAAAGCCACATGAAACAGTCAGTGCTTAACAAACAGGAAATTATTCTCCAGCCCATTCAGCTCGTTTTATCACAGGAGGTATGTATGTCACAGAAACAGAAGTCGCTGGGAACACTCAGCGGGTCAGGCAGCATCTATGGAGAAAGGAAAGTGAGTCGACGTTTCGGGTCCATGACCCATCGTCAGAATTGGGGCATGTTGGGAGGGAGAGGCTTTTAAGGGCTAACAGAGAGGGGGGAGGCAGGGCAAGGAAGACACAGGAGAAAATGGGGTAGATTGGGCCGGGGGATGATGGGTTAACACGTCGAAGAGAAGCGAAGAGCAGAAAAGAAGACATTTAGGTCTATATTGTCAGCCTGGTCAGAAGAATTCAGTTGGATATTAAAGACCCCATTACATTATTTCTAAAGAGAAAGGAGTTTCTCTTTCCTGGTGTCCTGACCGACAAGCTGCCCATGTAAAAATGATCCCTTACTCCACGACTGTTTGTGGGACGCTGCTGTGCGCAACTGGCTGCCGCGTTTCGCCCACAAATCGATACACTTCAGGGCATATCCTGTGACGTCTCAACGGTGTGATATTTGCCGTAGGAGAGGGGAATAGAGGGTTATGCGAGAGGGGGATAGATGGCAAAAGAGGGGTGAACAGGAGGGGGATAGAGAGTTGTGGGAGAGGGGGATAGAGGGGTGTGAAACAGGTAACTCGCGCACCGACTGACAGGTAAGGTAACTCTCCCTCTCAGGCAGAGGACTAGCTTCTTCCCAGTAATGATCTAATAATTTGACAAACGTCCTGCTCTGCACTCCGCTCGCTGAGCGGGTTGTGGCTCCTTCAGTCAACGTTGGAAGCGGAAGGGTTAAGGGTTTCAGAGGTGGACAAGAAACAGACATCTGCGAACAGGTGATTGGTGTGTAAAAATGGTTTCAAATGGAAAATTGGCCTCTCAGAATGAAGAGCTACTCGACGGGTTTAGTTTGGGTTTCCGTGTGAGGGGCAATAATAATAATAATAAGTATAAAGCTGTTGTTGTTATAATTATGGAGGTCTGGGTTTTCCTGAGCAATGATGGGCCACTTAGCTTATTGAATGAACCCTTGCAAAGATCCAGTCTGTTCACTCCAATTGATCAAACAGTCGTGGATTGAGCGTCTGAATTATTATTTTTTTGAGAGGTTATTATCCCCGGATTAACATGTGCAAAATGTGACTTTGGAAGCATTTTCTGCCGCTCAAACTCATCTGCCCGGGTGAACGTTTAACAGCCTGTGACGCAAGCCTGGCTGCTTTTGACTGAAGTTCTGCGCCAAACCACACATTACTCAGATTGTCAGGTCTCATCCCTAATGTGCCTTCAGTGGAGTCCTGTAAGTGGTTAAGCACTCGCCTCGCAAGCAAGTGGGTTCGATTCCCGGGCGGGTCAGGGCGAAACATTGGGCGAGTTTCCTTACCGCACACGCCTCTGTTTACCCAGCAGTGAGTAGGAACCCGGTTGTTAGTCGATTGGCGGATCGCTTTTCCGGGAGTAATAATCCCTTTAAAAATAAATGAAATAATTTGGTCACTCAATCCACGACTGTTTGCGGGATGCTGTTGTGCGCAATTGGCTGCTATGTTTCTCCCACAGAATGTAGACAGTTCACTTTACAGTGTATCCTGGGAAGCACTTTGAGACGTCTCGAAGTCGTGATCAGGCGCTGTATCAAATGCGAGGATTATTATTATTATTATGGGCGAAATGTAGGCGAGTGAGGACTTACTCCGGGCTCACATACGCCATCTGGTGTCTGGTACCAGAGTGATGTGGAGGTGCAAAGCCATCTGTAAACCCAAGTATAATACACTACGTGTAAATATTTTAGCACAGGAGAATCACAGATTCTGTTAATTAAGTTTTTCCCACTGAAATTCCCACGTGTTTACCCAACAGCGTCAAAACCGTCTGCAGTCGACACGCTCAGTCTGTCGGTCTTGCAGTCGGGGTAGACAGAGGAAAGGTAGCAAACGGCAATGCTAATTTAATTTAATATAGGAACCGTTCATAGGAACTAATACAGACTACAAATACGCAGTCAATTCATTTTACGGTTTATTCTGTGAGGCGCTTTGAGACGTTCAATGACATGATAAGGCGCTGTATCAAATGCAAGGCTTATTATTATAAATCATTCAGTTGGGAGCTGAATTGTGATGGGTAACAGAGCAAACAGAGAGCTGAAGGCAAAGTAAAACACGGAGAAAGAAACACCTGGCTTCTTCTCAAACATCTGCTGTGTCTCAAAGGATATATCGAAGCCGTTGTTTCTGGATTTTAAACAATAAGACCTTTGCAATGTTCTTGCTTCTCACGTGAATTTATCCCTCGCCCCCTCCACTCCACCATCAGTGGCCGTGCCTTCAGCCACTACGCCCCGAAACTCTGGGACTCTCTCCCTCAATCCGTCCGCCTCGCCCCCCCTCCCTCCCTCCCTCCCTCGCCAGCTTCAAATCCCACCTAAAGTCATTCCTTTTGGATCGTGCTTACGGTCACCTCACCCACTCTCTCCCTCACCCCCACCACCCCCCCATATGGCGCTATATCAATGTAAGTTGAATAAGATGAATCAGATCATTCTCTCAAAGGGAAATTATGTGTTGTGTTCGGTTGGATTATTTTTCACAGCAGCCGGGAACCCTAACCGCTGCCTGGACAGAGATCAGCTAACACAGGTCACACCGCGGCTCAAACCTGAGACCTTTCAGTCAACGTGTAAATTGTTTGAATTGAAATGTCACTAAAAGCCCACGGGTGTTAACACTGGGAGAGCACTCAGACCTCATAGATTCTAATTCAATCTCGCAGGTGTGTGTCTCAAAGTGCTGTGTTTCGCCCACAAAATACGCAGTCCATCCACTTTACGGCGTATCCCGTGAAGCGCTTTGAGACGTCTCGAAGATGCGATAAGGTGCTGTATCAATGCAAGGATTATTATAATTATTATTATTATGGGCAGTCATATAGATCCCACAGTACAGGAGGACATCGACCCATTGTGTATTGCCAGCTTTATTCAGTCTCATGTCCTCTCAACTCTTTTTATTCCTCTTTCTCAACAATTTATCTGATTCACATTTGAAAGGTTTTGTGAGCTCTGCTTCGCTTAATATTTCCGGCCTCTTTAATTTTCTGTGCTAGGAAATGCCCCTCTCCTCACCTCTCTCCCTTTGTTTCTTTGCTAATGATATTATATCAAGCGGTAAGTAGGAACCTGGTTGTTAGTCGATTGACGCGTCGCTTTTCCGGGGGTAATAATCCTTCAAATTATGAAAAAAATTATAATTCGGTCACTCATTCTAGAACTGTTTGTGGGACACTGCTGTGTGCAATTGGCTGCCGCGTTTCGCCCACAAAATGTACAGGCAATTCACTTTATTATTATTATTATTATTCCTTCTAAAACAGTAACTAACTCAGCTGTCAGTGAAAATAGTTCCTCCCTGTTTTACCTATTTTTCGAGACCCTCGTCACAGTGAACAGACTCGCCATTTTTGGGGGCTTGTTACGAGCGAGCTCCTGCGTTAGTGAGCGAGAGATGTCGATCACCGTCAGCTTCTAACTGAAACAAAATCGACACGCTGTGGTAAAAGGTGGCCTGAATAGTCAGCGTCCTTCATTACCGAGGTGCCACTGGGTGATATTTCTGCAGGATTCATTCATTAACATTGTTTAAAATTGGACGCTGCTGTCAGGCGACCTATTCAGACACGGGGGAAATCAAAGTAAAAATAAATTAGAAAATTCAATCTGGTATTTTGCGTCATTTAAAAGTGGGGAACGCTGTTTGATGTTAATTTTATTTTAATGAACTTTTTTTTTTTGCAGCTCGCTAACCCGATGAGTCAAGTGTTACACGCCTTCCCTCTCCTGTTTCTAGTATAATACTACTACTACTACTAATAATAATAATCCTGGCATTTGATACAGCGCCTTATCACGTCTTCCAGACGTCTCAAAGCGATTCACAGGATACGCTGTAAAGTAAATTGACTGTGTATTTTGTGGGCGAAACGCGGCAGCCAATTGCGCACAGCAGTGTCCCACAAACAGTCGTGGATTGAGTGACAGATTATTATTATTATCTTT